AGCAACACTGTTATAAAAATTTACAAATTTTGACCAAATTATGAAGGGATCATGTTAGATAGATGTGTACCTAAGTTTGAAATATTTTTCTCTTTTATGTTGAATTTGCTTTCACTAGGAAAAGGAAGAGTTACTGTTTTCAAAAGGCTAAGCTGGAGCATGGCAGAAGGTACTGTGGGGCAGTAAGTTCAAGAGTGGACCATGCTGCACCACAGGTTTTGTGCTGTTAGGGGATATAGCACATACAGTTTTTTACTCCTAAGACTATAAGAAACACCAGACTGAGTCCATGGACTGTCCAATGCAGTGTTTGTTTCTGTCCGTGGTACCCAGGGTTGTTTTGTGAGAAAGCATGCATTTATTCTGTGATACCAGCCTCTAAAGGTTAGGGGGTGTGCCAAACATCCTGAGCTCCTCTCATTAGGAACAGTGTCCTTTCATTCACTTCAATTGGACTGGCATATTGAGCCTGGCAGGTCACTCTTACGTGAATGGCCAGTAACTGGGTGCTTCGTTAATTGCAAAGCATATTTTGCCAAATGATTTCATCCAAAAAGACATGTCATACAACTTTCAATTCTTTGACCTCCTGATATTTTTTGTTATTCAGATAACTCGCTGAAAATGAGTAGAGTAAGCCATGGCCATATTATCACAGGGAAACCCAGCATTTGGTTCTGAAAATAAGGAAGAATGGAACTGACCATGGTATTTGCTAAAACAGGATGCCACTGAAGGAAGTAGAGTGGTTCTGTTGGCCAGGATATAATCAGGGGAAGATTAAGCTTTGAGGGTCAGGACTGTGGAGGTAATTGTGGACTCAAACTGTCAGGTTTACATGGAGGCTACTCAACTCAAACAACACATTTTATACTCATTTATGCTTTTAGCCAGATGACTCTCTTTCATGTTTCAGCATATTCAGATTGTTGGCTTGCTGACAAGGCTCACAAGTAAAAATGAGACCCTTTTGTAGTGCTGCTTGTGGATTACAAGGTTAGCACTTGCCTTATTAGACAGACTAGGGAATATTAAGTTTTGACTGTGCAATTATAAGGAATATAATATGGGAGAGGGTACTTTTAAAAAATGCTCTTATGTTGAGGGTCACTGCATTAAAGGATAATAGTTTTAGATGAAGCCACATTTCTAACACGGGACTAGATAACAAGGATAAATGAAATCTGCAGACAGTCTCAAAGCATCATTTTGGCCATTATTTGTAATCTGTTCTCCTACCAAACCTTTTACTGTGTAGCAAAATTGATTAATTCGTATGTATCTCTTTTTTCTGTGATTACGTGCTGTCTGATAGAGGAGTAAAAAAATAGAGAAATGGACAAGAGATGACAGAGGATGGGGCTGAGGCCAGGTGGAGCTAGGGATGCATAATCCCTAAACTAGATAATCAACCCCAGAATAATCAAGATATATTTTAGGGTCTTAACATTAATCTTGATATTTAATCATTCTGAACAATGTTAAAAACAAAAGATTGTATAATAGCATTAATAAAAATCACTTGCTATGGAATGGTTCAGAATAAATAAGGCTTTTTTTAGCATGAAATATGAATTCATTGAACTGGTCTTAATGTTCTGTCAGCACACACAGATACAGCTCTGCTTAATTCCATATCCTCTTATCTATAGTCCTACATTTAATTTACTACCATTGGAGTTGATTTATAGCTTTGCTTAGCAAAAGTACAGTCTTGATTAAAAGAATATTATCGCAATTGATGAACCTCGAAAGCATTTTTCTTTCATAGACCTGCTAGTAATTTTGAAAATGACCTGCAGACCCATATGGCTAGATTTGCAAATTTCCAGTTTTTACCCACCTGGCTGTACTTCAGATAGTGGCAGGATTAGTTAAGGATATGTTTGGTGACATAGTATTCTCATACGCTGTCTCCTTATCCATCCTTAGAAACAGAAAGTTACTGTGGTAGCATTTTAAAGATCTGCTTTGGGGAATCCCAGTTCCCTGGTTCGATTATCTTTTATCTAGTTTATAACTGCAACTACAGCCCTTGTCTCTTGGGATGTTGCTGGGCCAAAGGATTCTCCAATCTGTATGAGGGAAGATTCAATTATTATGCATGAGGGTTACATTTTAGAGTTGCATCTGTGACAGATGCCTCCCTGAAACAATATGGAATTCATTTTGGTGCTCATTTCATTGGAGATGACTGACTTTGCAAAGCCAGTGATTTCCACAGGTTGGCCAGAATTGGTCATTCTCCACAGCAGGCCATATTCCTCTTCTCCTGTTTTGATTGTGCAGTATGACTATTTAGTGGCTTGTGGTTCTAGGAGGAAAGAAAATGGTGTCACTCAGTAGGTGACAGAAAGAAAGCTACTACGATTTGATTTTGTTAAAACCATTATTACCATTCTCCTGATTCTACTAGCTGAAAAAAAATGAATCATTTTGGTTTTGGCTTTGTAGCTTTGTGGAGAGTATTTCTTACCTATGAAAACAGTTCATGAAAAGGAGTCACGTTAAAACCACTATACTTACGGTTCAATTTGCAGGGGCTTTCAATTGTTCAGAGTCATAGGAACCCAGAAAATAATTGAAAGTTATAAATGTGTTACTAAATTAAAACTGGAGAATTTGGGGGGGGGGGTTTCTTATCAAATTTGATGGTGGGACCTTCTCAAAATGCAGAGTAAATAAAGCAGTCTTATTTGTGAGTAATTTTTGTTTTGGCCAATGTGTCCTTTGTATCTATACACACACAGCTTAATTAAGATATTCACATACCATACAATTCTTAGCTTCTTCTAATTGTTAAACTACTAGACATTAAAAATTGGACATTTTTGTTCAAGAATGCAGGATGTACTCCTGTAAAGAAAGAACTTAAGTGTCTAAATTACCCCCATTTGCCTAATTCACTTTTTAAAATCTTAATATGTAGCTGCAGTTTGTCAGAACTAGAATGCTTATTAGAGGTTACCTAGTTCAATTAGAGTAAAAATTACCTGGGGAGCTGTTCTTTTTCCAAAATATATTTGTTGAAGCATGAACCCTCCTGAACTTCCGATAAATGTTGCAGCCCCCCTTCCCACCCCATGCCAGTTAAATATCATTAATTTTGTCTGACACTCTCATCTCACAGATAGGGAGACATTCTTCCTATCACAATTTTGACTAGACACCTTAATAAGCACCAAAATTCTTTTCAATTTTAACATGACAGATTTTTGATAAATAGAGTTGAAGTTTCAAAATTCACTTCAGTGGATGATGGAGTATAAATTACTTAGGCTGTATATATATATATATATATATAAAATTATGAGGAATCTGATATTGTCAAAGAAAAAACATCAAAGCTACTGATCAGGAAGTCAGTATACAGAAAGTGTTGCAAATTTGTCATTGTCTCATCAGGCACTGGAGAGATTAGTGGATATCCTTTATCCTGGAAATGTCTGATAGCTAAGCACTCATATTTCTTCTCAACTGCGTATAGTCATTTCCCACAGGGCACGGGAGGCAGTATTGTGTTCGTTTTTAAATAGCTGCCCTGGTTGTATTTTTAGTAGAAAGAGATTCATAAAAATACTGATATTAAATAGATAGAAGAAATAGCCAGAGATGTGCTTTAATAATAATAATTTTTAAAAAACCACAAATTCTTCAGAAGACCTGATAGGCTCCAATGGAAGGATGCGTAAAGACCTGCGGAAAGAATGAAATGGATTTTCCAGAGGACTTTTTATTCCTGAAAAAATTGGAAAATCTGAGGCTGAGGGCAGAAGAAACAAAAGAAGTTTTCATTGACCCCTTTTCCTCTTTTAGACCTTTACATCCATACACATAGTAAGTATAAAGATCTATGACTTTACTCACGTGCTCTGAAAAGAAGCCTCCATCTTGGGTAATAATGTTTACCTGGTCCTACATCTTCATTCCAGTACCTTGCACAACCTGACCCTCCACTTGGGGACCATTGATATGAGGCAACCACAGATCTGAGAGAACAGAATGGGGTCATTATGCTTTTGAAATTTCATTTTTATCAATGTTTACAAAGAAGTTAAGAACTTTTAATTTTGATCTGTAGTTCTGTACACTATTCTATGTGCGATATGAGGGGAAAGAACAGATTCCTTTCGATCGCATGTTAATCAAGGGAAAAGCACATTATTTTTTAAAAATTAGCAAGAATTGCCCACAGTTACTTAGATGCCCTTTTTAAGGGTATCACCATAAGCTCGTTTTACATAAAAAAAGTTACAGTGGTCTCTGGGCTAGTATATATACAAGGAGAGAGCAATAATACACTACAGTGAAGTGATTTGAAATCTTTATACTTAAATTTAGTAGAGCTGTGTGAAGACAATGGTGTAGATGGACAGTGAAGGTCTGCCACTAGCCCCCTCTAAGCTATTATGCATTTATAAAGAAATGCTATCTACACTGGGTGATGACGTAGGATCTGGTTGTTTTCATGATTATTTTTCAATCTTATCTGATTGTGTTTCCTTGCCTACATATAATTTAAGGTTTTAAAGGGAGTAGACAGTTTGGGAGGGGATCAGCACTGAAAATTTTGGAGCTTAATCAGAAGTGGTGAGTGTACCTGCAAAACAGGATGGTTGTTTGCTGTATCTTTGAAGTCAGTCCCCTTTGTCTCTAGTTCCTTATTGACATGAGCTGCAATTTGGGAGTGGGGGCAGGATTTTTGCCATCAATCGTCTTATTCTACACACAGCTTCAGAACAGTTGTTCTGGTTTTCTAAACACAATATCATAGCCTAGTACATGTTGGGCACATGCAAATCAATATTTTCTATCTCTATGGCCATCATAATGGCCTTCAAATCTAATGTCAAAGCTTTGGAAACAGAAAACTGATATGTCCTTCTAAAAACAAGGGGAAAGGAAGAACTGCATTCTCTTGAAAGTTAAATTATAACCTTTTCTTTCTGATTCTATGAAGAAGTTTTATTTTTACTAATAAAACTGCCAATTTCTTTCAGGTGGGTGTACATGGCATTAGAATAGAATTCATCAATGAAAAAGGATCAAAACGCACCGCCACCTACCTACCGGAGGTTGCAAAGGAGCAAGGTCATTGTTGTACTTTATTTCATATGATCTGGTGAAGAATTTAAACAAATACACAAATTGAAATGCATTATCTGACCTTGCAGTTATGTCTGATAATTGAACAGTGTCAAATTATAAGAAATGACTCTTCCATCACTGCCACTGAAATGTTTGTGTCAAGCCAGTGAAGCACTCACAGAAGTTGAATCCCTCCATTGAAGTTTGATGGCATAGACCCATAAGTGTAAATTTTTTAAAAAGCAGAATTTACATTAGTTGGTTTTCATTTTAGGCAACAATTTGCTACTGATTTGAAATGCCTTTTCCCATATTCCATTGTGGCATGAACAAGCTTTTTGTTTGACAATCAGCCACATAGTTCATTGTCATTGTAAGTATCAAATGTTTCATTCTTAGGTGGTTGCCGTTACTCATCCTGCTAATATGAAAACTGTAGGTTTCCCATTAAGATCAGAGCATTGAGAAAACATGAAGTATTAGTGTTTCATATGCTTGGTCTACACTTCCTAAACAGAATTTTCCTATTTCACATATAGAGCATAGAACTGTATGAACCAACATTGTAACACAAAATAAGTTTCCACTCTGTATTTTGTCCTTTCTTAGCAACTACTAAATTCTGGTTTCATGTTAGTTGAAATGGATCTTTTATCTTGGGGAGCTTTTCTTCTCATCAGAAAGCATTTGTAATTCGTTTTCCCATGTTTGTCTTATAAATGTGACATATATAATAGCAAAATTTAGTGCCATTAAATCCCCAGATCAGAAAGCCGTCAAGGCAGTCACCTGAAGATTTATTTGGGTTGCTTTAGAAAATATCTTAATCTCCTAGTATCATTAACTTTGTAAAGCATAGGTAAAAGATAGAGTGCTTCAGATATACCATTCATGTCAGAACTAATAAAAATACCCTTGAATACTGCACACAAACATGAATGATTACAGAATTACAGAAGATACCATAAGGAACAACAATTACTGTGAGGTAGTATGGGAGTCCTAAATACTACTGAGTTGGCAAAATGGCATATAGGCTTCTCCCTCCCTTTTAAAGATGCCACTGTTAGAGGAAAGTACAACAGATATGGTTTGTTACAGTCATGACTGAGCAATTTCTGCCAGCCCCTTAGACCCCTTGCCTTCAAATGTGAAGATAAAGGAGCCAATGTTGTTTGACACTGTGGATAGCTAGAATTTAAGGAGTGTGTTGATGACCCTTCTCTTGTAAAGGATGAAATCTTAGCTCTTCTGTGTGATTGTTTTTGGGACCAAAAGATTTGACGGCATTTGGTAACAGTGATAGCTGACCTCTACAAAGTCATTTTGTATTTAATGAAAGGTGTTTGTTACATGTGCTTGACTGATATTTTATCTGGTCGACTCTCCACAGGATGGGACCATATTCAGACCATAGACTCCTTACTGAGGAAAGGAGGATACAAAGCTCCAATTACTAATGAATTCAGGAAAACCATAAAACTGACCAGGTACAGAAAGCATTTTCTAGCACAAGGCTAACCTGTACATTTTGATGTGTATGCTATAATCCTTTGAATTCTTTGGTCTCTCTACACTTTTCTTTTCTGAAACAGAGTAGAAATGAATGACAGGGTCATACTGAGGGTGGATACAATGGAACTCTGCTTGGCAGTAAACCCTGTATGATGTATGAGCCTATCTTTCCCATCTTTTGCTCTGTGTGATTACTCTGGCTTTTGTACGAGCAAGCCCTTGGAGACTTCAGACTACTTTATTGGAGAAAGTACTTGAATTAGCTATTGGCTAGCTTTTGACATTACTTAGCAGAACCCCAGGATTCTGATAAAGAGTCCTCAAATTTTAATTTAACCTCAGAATTTTGGCAGTGATAAAAGTCTACCATGAAAGCTTGCTAGCTTGCTGCAAAACACAATTGAGCTAAACTCAAATGCTAAATAAATTTCAGCATGACAAAATAGGAATGCTTATTTAAAAAGGAAAATACCATACATTTTAGGAAAATGGGCTGCTGGTTCCATTTATTTGAATTCCATAAAACTACATTGAATGCTTATAGTCTGAAAATGGACTATTCTTAGCTCTGAGGAGTTACAAATTCAAAAATACCTCCATCTCTGCTATCCTTGAGTTCACAGTGGAGGAAAATAGAAGGGGCATGGACAAAATTATTAATCTAAGCCAGAATATGATGGATAATATGCGATCCATTCCCATGAAGTAGGGAAAGAATTCTAAGAGAGTGGGAGGGGGATAACAGATGGTTTCAAAGAGGTCAATTAGGGACTCGGTTTGAAGAATTGGTAGAATATTTGACAGATAGAGTGTGCAGGAGGAAAGGGATTCCCTTAAGGAAGACCTTGTGAGTCAAGGGTGGTGAAATACAAAGCAAGTTAGGAGAATGCAAAATAGTCTGATTGGGCTGGTCTTTCAGTGTAACAGAGAAGCTGATCATTAGAGAAAAATGTGGCCCAGAAGGTAGGTTGGGCAGACCAGTGAGGGTCCTGAATTCCAGAGTAATTAGTTTGGACCTGATTTTATAGGCAGTTGGTAGCTATTGAAGGATTTTAATCAGATGGACTTGGGGAGGTAAAAGAATGGAATTGGAAATAGGAAAATGAACCAGGAAGCATTGGTATTGTCTAAGAATCTGTGGCAACAGTCCAAAAGAGGTACAACGGGGCCTTAACTAAAGCTGTGGCAGTGAGATGGGAAGAAAGGTGGGGATCGATATGAAAATATTGTGGAAGAAATGAAAGGACTGGGCCATCATTTAGAAATAAGGAAGTCAAGGCTTTCATATAGATAAAAGGGACCAACGCAATCCCTTTAACCAAAGTAGAGACAAGAGGAGTGTGGTAGGTTTATGCGTTGATTTTGGATTTGAGGTGCTTCTTAGGATATCTATATAGAAATGTCTAGTAGGTCAATGAAAATATACGAGCTCATGGCTAGAGATGACTGAAATTATAAGAATAGGGTTCACTGCGGGGGGTGGGGGTGAACAGTATAGAGTCAAAAGAACTGAATACAGAAACAAAAAAAAATTCTACAAGACAGGGATAGGAGGATTCAGACATAAGGAGCAATCCAAGAGGCAGGGGAGAACCAGGGGCATGTGGAGGTATAGAACCCATAGCACCAGAGAGCTTCAAAAAGGGTATGGTGAGCAAATGGAAAAGTTAAGCTGAATCAGAGGCAGCCTTCTGACAGCCATTCCTGTGGAAGAGTGGCAGCGGAAGCCAAGGAGCACTGGGCTGAGGAGTAGTGTGAGATGGGAACTGAAGGCAGAAAATACACATAACTGTTTGAGAAATGTAGCAATGAAAAGAAAGCTAGACGTGGGGAAAAACAAGAGTTCAGGATACCAGAATTAAGAAAAGTTGTTTTTGTTGTTATTACTTAATGGTAAGACCTAAGTAAATGTGTGGACAAAGAAAGGAACAGTAAAAGAATCAACTGAAGAGATGCATACTCCTGTTAGAAAACTGAGGCTGAGAGGGCAGTAAGAATTTCTAAAAGAACAATTTCAACAAGGAGTAGTAGAGTGCAAAGAGCACTGGACTCAGACTTTGAATTTCCAGGTTCTCATCTTAGCCTCGCTACTTACTATCTCTGTGACCTTGGGCAGTCATTGCTTCTCTCTTGGACCCCATTTGCTGATCTATAAAATTATCTATAAGGTCCTTCCTAGCTCTGACAATGGCATGTCACCTATGTCTCGATGTTAACTTTTCTCTTCCCTGACTTTCTTTCAGGTATCGTAGTGAAAAGATGACCCTGAGCTATGCTGAATACCTTGCTCATCGCCAGCATCATCATTTCCAAAATGGCATTGGGCATCCCCTTCCGCCATACAACCATTATTCCTGACACTGAGCCGCACAACCAGTCACTGGGCCTCTCTGCAGACCTCTTCCCAGGAGACCCTACACCTTCTTGGTCTAGCTATCTCTTTTACTGTACCATTTTATGATGATAGTTTCCGTTGCCATGGTGAAGCTTCGACATCGTCAATTAAGATCATCATGGTAACGGGTAGGAAAATGGCATTTGTTAAGATCCTGTTTTATTATTTTAGGTAATTGATTTTTTTTGCAGCATATATAACTCTGGGGTTTTTGTTCCCTACAATATTATGTAGAATTTTGCTTTGCTATCTCAGTCAGGTTTCTGTTTTTCCGTCCTTCTCGCCTTTCTTCCTGTTTTGCTTCCTGTTTTCCTTCTTCCTTCCCTCCTTCCCTTCCTTTGACTGTGGATGGAAGAAAGTGTGCAGTTTTTGGGAATTTTACTTGGGTTTGTCTTTAGTTTTCCTCAGTAAGATAGTTGTGGTTTTTTTTTTTTTTTTGATACCTGAGTTTTGGATTAATGCATATCAAATTCAGGTATTTGTATATTACTCTTGATTTTTGTCTGAAATTCACTTTGCTATGACAGTTTAGTAGTTGTGTCTTCACTCCCTTAAGTATATGTTTTTCCCATGGTGAAAATATATGAACTTTTCTAGTCGTGAGCATTCAAAGGTCCATGATAGGGCTTGTCACAGAGAGAGAAATCATTTACGCCTATCGTGCTGGTTACTATAGAAGAGACTGCCTGACCACTTTATAGAAGCAATTTGCAAACTACAACACTGTTTTGAGAAAGTACAAACTACCTTTCAAAAAGGCTACAGGAATCATTTATAAGAGCAGCAAATATTAGGAAGAGAGCAGATATGGAATTTAGTGCCTTTGAGAAGAATATAATTGAGTGGAATTCAGAGGGGTTAGAAAAAAGGCAATTTAGAAAAATATTCTTGTAAAATTTTATTGTTTCTATATGTGAAACAGCAGATTAGACAAATTTCTTACTCTTAAGTATTTTTTTAAGCTGAAAAAATTTATTTTGAGCAAATAACCAAAAAGAGACATTTGTCTATTTTATATTAATTTAAATTGATTAGCTCTAGGTTTCAATATATCATGATTGGCTAGAGTCAATTTTAGCTACCATCTAAAGATATGGTGAAAATAATTAAGTGAAACAAAAGTTCATATTTTCCATGATTTCAGATATGTTTGTCATGGGGACAATACTAGAGTTTTAGAGATACTATAAAATAGCTTGAATCTCTTTCTGCACTACATACTTTTGATAGAAACACATTTACTACATTGATAAGATGTTATGTCACACCTGTGAAAATGGAGTTGGCATTCAGATATGCCATAGTTAGAAAATAGCATCTGCAGGGATAGTCTTCCCATGATGCATACAAACAGAACTTACTGATGTCAATAGAAGGTCCATAATATATCCCCAGGAAAAATGACAGATTATTCTGGAGAAAGATGACCTTCATTTTATGGTTATGTGTGTGTGTCTGTGTGGTGTACATATATATATATTTCTCCATATATATGTGTGTGTGTATATACATGGTATATATATATATATATATATATTTTCCATATATATATATATATATATATTTTCCATATATATATATATATATATTTTCCATATATATATATCATACACACACACACACACACACACACCTTTGGAAAAATATATATAATTTTTTCAAACAGGAAGCCAACATATCAAGTGATGATTTAAAGTATGCTGCAGAATATATGTTTTAAAACTATAAGGAATATCACTGAATATCAAAATTATATAACTTATACATATAGTTGCTGTGACAAATGACAGACTGCTAGTTCAGAATTCAAAAATCCTTTCCTAGTTTGTGAGATAATTGGCTGAATTCCTTCTGCTTGCCACTGGGCAAAGCACACTGCTTTAGTTTTTGATGAGAGTTCTTAAAAGTTTGTTGGTATTCCTTCATCCACAGCATCCATTGTCGAAATAACCATTTTCCGTTGTGATGCCTTAACTAAGAAGCCAATTGTTAGCCTGAAATGCAATCTTGGTAGCCAGTTTCAATGAATCTAGAGATTAGTCAGAAAAAGCTGTTGGGCTTTAGAAAGAGATTTTGAGTCCTGTCATTTCTACTTGGGAGCATTTTGGAGCAGATTCGTCTTTCAGTATAAAAGCAAGTGGCTACCTGATAGAAACTTTTCTTACCCTTATAGGGAAACTGAGCACAAGCTGAATGATATTGTCTGCTGCAAAAAAAAAAAAAAAAAAAAAAAAAAAAAAAAAAAAAAAAAAAAAAAAAAGTAAATAAAACAAGCAAACTGAAGAGAGACAAAGACCAATATTATCGTGAAATCCATCTTATCCATCATCTCATCAGTTCAACAGGCTCCTCGTCCCGGGTGAGCTTATGGTTAGAAGTTTTTTAGCAAAGATTTATTACATACATAGATGTGTGTGTGTACATATACTTATACATACATACATATATGTGTGTTTATTTAACGGTGCTAATCAATCTTGAGCAGGTCACGTGACTGGTCATGCGGACTCTAAAATCATATCAGATTTTTAAAAATCCTTGATATATGCAGATGTTATACAGATTTTCTTAGCAGTGTAATAATGTTATACTGAAGAAATAACCATCCTGCAGGCTTCAAAGGACGAGGTCAGCAATATTTCCCAACGTGGCTTGGGGGAAAAGGATAGTTTTGTCTCCTTTTGTATTCAAGTTAACGCAAAGTGCATTTTTGTCTCTAAGTAGCTGTTGACTAAATGACTTTGTAGTGTAAAGGGTGTTATACAAACTGTAATGGTGTGCTTCAAACAAATGCTAGACCCTTTCACCTTTGTCGTATATACAAAGCTGTTAAATATGTGGTATGAATTAACTTTGAACATGTTGAAATATGTAGCATGTCTTTAACTCAGACAAAGATTCTAATTGCACAGGTTGTGTTTTAGCCAGTTGTGGTTTATTTGTTCAGAAACACAAATGTGAATTGCACTCTTATCATCAGAATATTATATGAGTTCAGTGATCTTTAAACAGCTCAGAAGTAATACTTGAACTTCATTTGAGTAGCACAAAGTTTACATAGCCCCTTTTAAATGTTAATTCGTTTCATTTCAGTTTTTTGTTTTCAAATGCAACTGGGTATTTTTCTTCTTGGAAATAGTATGTACTTTGCTTTGGTATGTAGCAAAAGGCTTCCATTTCTGGAAGGGTTTTCTTGTTCTTAAACAAGGTCAGCCAGGTACCAGATTCTAAAAGAACAAATTGTCCCCCACCCGTCAAGTGGCCTTCTGACTGCACGAGAATGTGCTACTATCCTCTGTAGTCTCCCCTAACATGAGAGGTCGGTGAAATTGATGGAGGAAATGCAAGGCTTGCTTCCCCCCACCCTTAAAGCTTAAAGCAGTTGTAAGGTTTTCAGTCCAGCACATATAGTCCCAATGCCCAGCACACCGGAAGTTTGTATACTGGCCTCTTGTCTTCAAATGTGCAGGAAATTTGAAACTGTCATCTGGAATAGGTTCCATCTCTTATGTGTGATAGATCAAACCAAAGAAGCCCCCAGCCATGCCCAAATGCTGCTTAAAAAGCCTACCTTCCAGTCCTTACAAAAACCTTGCAGGATTAAATGTGTTAACTTTTTTATTTTTGTACAGTTTCTAAGTGATTTTTGCTAGTGATGTTAAAATGACTTAAGTTTATTTGAGGAGTGTGAGCACCTCCTCTATTTAAATAAACTGGTGACTTTCCTTTTATTTTTTAAAAGTGGAAACCCGTTGTGTGCCTCTCGATTTAAGGGTTTCTGATGACATTATTCTTAAGACCAGCATTGATCCTTTATATACAAATATATGTTTTCCTTGTTTTTTATTGCTATTTCAGAAGAAAACGAACCTTTATTTTGCTCTGGACCCAGTAACTGCGCTGGTACATAGACGCACTGAGCAAACAAACTTTTGTAACCACCTCTGACTACTTTTGTATATCAAAGTTGATTACTTTTGAAATATTTGGATCTAGTTTCTAAGTTATTTTAGTGTTTTATATGTTCCCCAAAATTACTTTGAATCGGTCACCAGCATAATAATGAGTTCTTGGTGATACAATGGTGAGACTTGTAATGAGCAAAAAGCTACCTGGAGTAGCTCTTCTTTTCCTTCTTTCTTAGCAACCTGTTTTTTGATTACCGTAAGACATCACAGATTACCTGAAACCCCTTCCAGTATAAGTAGGCCCTCCTTCCTTCCACATTTAATTGCTTAATAGTTTGAAGAAACTATTGGAAATGGGCATTTTATAGGACATGTATGGCTTTAAAATATTAAATAAGAGCAAAAAGAAAAAAATATGAGAAGGTTTATGTGGGTCTGTAAGGTATGGCTGTGGAAAGATATTGTAGTAGTTTTGACACTATTGTTATTACCTTTAAAATCATTTACCCAATAAAATGTTAAAACCGAGTTATAAGCTTGTGTTTCTTTTTTAAGTTTAATCTGTCTCATCATAGAACTTTGGTCTCGTTGGTACTTTTTCTAAAAGGTTAACAGTCGAAGGCTCTGAAGCAATATCGTTAGGAACAGACACTGATTTATTGCCAAACTAGCACCTGGGGAACCTTACCTGCTGGCAACTGCTCCCTGCCATCTGATTTGCCGATGTCATCCTTTTATTTCTGAATCCTGGTTTGCTGGTATAGATTAGCCTTTATTTGGACACCCTAACCTGGCCACATTGATCCTTTAAGGATCCTTCAGATCTTTTGCCACAGATCTCAGGCAAGTATCAGACTTTAATTCTGGCAGGAGCTTAGCTGTGCTTAGGTCTGCTCTGGATTTCTTCCAAATCAGTCAGTGGTTATTGGGCATTTCCTTTTTGTGAACTGGTAGGGGGCAGCAGCAGTGCTATTCAGTGAAATCATCTGATATGGGTACCTTTTCTCCTACCACCGAGGCTTGTCCATTTTCTGAGTACAGTACAGAGTCTGAAAATGCTCAAGATGTGATTAAGCATTTTCAGAGCTTGTATGTACTCATACACACACTAGGCATATCACATGCTTACACTTATTACCACGTATTTTTTCAGTTCCAGATTGGTAACCCCAACTTGTGCTTGGGGGAAGCACCTGGAGTGTAGGGTAGGGCAACTGGTGCTCCTGACTTTCAAGGGCCAGATAAGAGCCTATGTCAAGAAAGGGTTCTCTCTGGGTGCTGCCTCTGCCTACTGTTGCCTTATCCCTTTCTCTATGGAAAGGCTACCAAGGACATTGTTGAAATACCCTTGGCTCTTTCTAAAACATTTGCTGTCTCACTTTCATCATGCACATTTTAAGATCCGTTGCTAGTTGAATATATCCAGGATGACTTTCTGTTACATTGCCCCAAAGCCCTGGTAACCATGTGAATTTTGTGACCCGTGCTTATGTCCATCACAGTGGCTAAAAACAGTGTTCTCAGATCCTAGAGGACTATTGTGGTTTTGAACAGTGCTCCATAAAGGCAGCCATCTGCTTAGGGTTTACCTATTTTCATCATTCATATTTAATGGGATGTAAGATTTTTTAATCATTTAGACAATATTAAAGTGTTCAGGTAGAATGAAGTAGTTTAATGAGACCAAAGCATTCTTTTTTATAGCATTAGTGGTTAACTCTGGTCTGGACAAATTTCAACTTCAGTAATCACACTCCACCTACCTAAATTCTTCCCACAGTTTCAGCATTTCCACTTAAGATTTCATGCCCCACTGGACACTGTCTAAATAGCTTTACTGCTTCCGAGGGCAAGTGTGGGCATGTAGGATGAAGCAGTGCCTCTCTATTGTTGGGATAATACTACCATATCTAAGGGGTCCTATCAGTGTTGAGGTAAGGAGAAGTCTGCAGTGGGGAAGTCACACCTGGATTCATAGCTGCCAGCCAGGAGAGCCAGTGAATGACTGCCCATTCAGAGAATGGCTTTTCCCACTTCCTGCAGTTTCAGACACATAAGCCAAGACAAGTGTGGGTTTGGGCTGGATAAGCTCTGTTAGGTTCCCATCTGTATGCTCAAGCTTTTCACTTACAGGAGGAAGAAATGAATGGGAAGATGAAAGTGAGGAAAGCCAGGGGTATACTGTTTTTGGCTACTGCATTAAAATACCTTCCTTGACATCTGTAGCCCCAGGTGGGACAATCTCATATTCCAAGCCTCAAACTTGTTGGAAGAAATCTTTCAAAAATTGGAGGGAATCATATTAGGTCTCAAGCACTGTTCTGAAGCCAATCTACCTCCTCACCCGAAGAGTTTGGTTACAACCTTGTTTAGAAATGACCCCTTAATAAAAAAAAAATGCTGTATATATACAATGGGATATTATTCAATCATAAATAAGATTGAAATTCTGTCATCTGCAGCAAATGGATCAGCCTGGAGGACATTTTGTTAAGTGAAATAAGCCAGACACAGAAAGCTAAAGAAGTTGATCTCATAGAAGTGGAGAGTAGAATAGTGGTTACAAGTAGCTGGGAAGGGTTGGAAGCGTGAAAAGGGAGAGGCTGGTTAAAGCAGGGGTCCCCATTCCCTGGGCCATGGACCAGAACTGATCTATGGTCTGTTAGGAACCGGGCCTCACAGCAGGAGGTGAGCAGTGGGAAAGCAAGCGTTACCACCCGAGCTCCACCTCTGGTCAGATCAGTGGTGGCATTAGATTGTCATAGGAGCACAAACCCTATTGTGAACTGTGCATGTGAGGGATCTAGGTTGTGTGTTGCTGATGAGAATCTAATGACACCTGCCCCATTTGTGGAAAAACTGTCTTCCATGAAACCAGTCCTTGGTGCCAAAAAAGTTGGACACCATTGGGTTAAATAATAGAAAAATACAAGTAGACTGGAGGAATAAGTTCTGGTGTTCTATAGCACTGTAGGGTGTCTGTAGTTAAGAATTTAAGATATATCTTTGGATAAATAGAAGACAGGGTTTTGAATGTTCCCAACACAAATGATAAATGTCTGCTGTGACAGATTTGCTAATTATACGCTTTGACATTCAATACATACGTTGTATGTATTGAAACATCACTGTGTAGCCTGTAAATATGTGCAATCATGTATCAATTAAAAAATTAAAAATTACCTCTTTATTATGTTTTGAAGGTACTGACTGTGTATCTTAAAATGGACCCACCCGGAGAGCTGGTGGAGGGTGTGTCCTGTATGTAAACCAACGAGCTGCACTAGGCAGCTTTTCATCACGACAGATGATTACTTAGTTTGACAGAGGTGAGATGTAGAGTATGCGCCCTTGTCTGCAGCACACAGCTGGGCAGTGGCTGAATTACATGCCTCTATGCTCACCAGCTGCCATGTCATCTTTGAGCTCATGCTCCCATTCTAAAGGGACATATCCAAGTCACAAGGGGTGGATAATTTGTTCCCCCTTTAGTCTCCCTCCATGACGGGAGAAGCTTTGGTTTTTCAATCAGAATCAGTTGGCACCTCATTATGTTAAAAATCAGATTGAAAACACTATTTCATTGCTATTAAGCACAAATGTATACAAGCTACTTATTAATGAGAACAAGGTAGTTTCAATGACTATAAAATGTTGCAATTGGGTTGAATGACAGTGAATAGTCTCAGCACTCTATTTCTATGTTTTAGCTGTACAACAACAACAAGGTCCTGATTTGCATAGAGCTCAGATTGCTTAATTTTATGAAAGTGTGTACATATAGGTTTAAAGTGTAAAAACCCAGCACAGTCCACAGCTATCTGAAGCTTACAAGAAGTCTGGGCAGGAGAAGCATGACTCCTGAGGTTTAAAGACAAATGAGTAATCTGATGGCTTCTGCTAATCAAGTTGTGGTCTTCAGTTGCCCTTCTGGATATAACTTATTAGATGTTTGTTAAGTGTTTTTTTTTATTACAGTTTCAAAACACAGCGTATTTCAACACACATATTTTTTGAATTAAATGTTTATGGAGGGACGGGTACAGTGGCTCATGCCTGTAATCCCACCACTTTGGGTGGCCAAGGCTGGCAGATCACCTGAGGTCAGGAGTTCAAGAGCAACCTGGCCAACATGGCAAAACCCTGTCTCTACTAAAAATACAAAAATTAGCCTAGCATGTTGGCGCACACCTGTAATCCCAGCTACTCAGGCAGCTGAGGAAGGAGAATCGCTTGAACCCGGGAGCCAGAAGTTGCAGTAAGCTGAGATCGCGCACTGCACTCCAGCCTGGGTGAACAGAGCAAGACTTCATAAAAAAAAGAAAGTTTATGGAAACTTGAAGCTGTTTTGACAGATCCCCAGGATCCCACAGGACAATCAAAACCACTGCTGGAACCTCAACATGCCCAGTTATTTTGAAAACTTCTGGGAAGCCATCATTTGATGAAATGACAGCTTTTTTTTTTTTTTTGGCCTTTTCCTCCCAAATGTCAGGCTCAACATGATCCATCAATATTTACGGAGTGTCTGTCCCTCCAGAGGCACAGCACCTTGCTTGGTTCCAGAATAAATATAGTATAATTTTGTAAGATAAATTAATAATCCATTCTGGGCTAAGAGTTGTAAGGAGCATATGCGTTTGGTCTACTTGGGTAAAGTCTTTCCAACTGGGACCCAGGTAACATTAGTTTTCTATAGGATTTCACTAAATAGCTTCCGCCTCAGTGGCATTAGAACATAGTTGTAACTGCCCCTGTTGAGAAATTGTATTTCTTTGCACTCCAATATGTCAGCACCAGAAACCACTCCATACTGGACATGATCATGATTCCCTGAGTGAAGGAGATTGTTTCTGTTCCTATAATGTGGCTCTCTTGCTCCTTAGCAGGAATATGCAAGGTGGCTGGAAGAGAAGTGATGTATAAGAAATAGGTTTGGACACAAAGAATGGCATTGGGTGGCTGAGAATTGTGTTCCTTACTGTGAAGCTGCCCTCTTAGAGGCATTGGGCCCTTCCTATGGCGAGGAGATAAGAAGAGACAGAGAGAGGCTAGGCCTCTAAGAGGCTTTCTTGAGGCCTGAAGAGGAGAAGACAGTTTATAATATGTTTACTGGTTGAAAAATTATAGAGAAAAAAATCCATTCATGGGGCAGGAGAGAAAAGATATTAAGAGTAAACCACATGGAAGGAAAATCGGAGTGACTTTCAGAATCACTTGCTATGCAGAAGAAAAGGAAGGCACTATTAAACCTGGGATATTAGAAAACAGGAAACACATACAATAGAATGTTTAAGTCACATCTGAACTGACAGGAAGCTGCTGAGAGTTTCCAAACATCAGGCAAATATTGAAACTAGGAGTTGGTATAGTCACTTTCCATGAAGCTAACATTTCCATCTAAATGGAATTTTGTAATGACCTAATTTTACCATGTGGGTCAACATGTATAAGTGGGTTTCTGTGTATCAGCAGAGGAGATGGGGGCTGGCCAAACAGCTGGATGGGACAATCATATTCCCCACACC